AAGTTGCTATAGTTTAACTTAGTACAATTTATGCAATGCTGAGCCTCTAAATATTTTCCACTTACAAAGAGATCATTCTTTGCAGAGGATAGTATTAACCAAATCCTTTGTTTGTTGGTAGATGACCATGGAATACAAGGAGCTTTTCAGCCAGATGCTTCTGCATTCTAGTTATTCACAGTATTTCAATAGATACCCAACCTCAGAGTTATTATTCTTAACAGATAAAGTTTTGTTTACAAGCAATTAGGAGGATTGTATAACACTGCCGTCTAAACACTAAGGAATACTTTTGTATGGGAAAATATTTGTGGCTTATCGGAAGCACTGATTTGCAATATCAGTGAATTTTCGACCTCTACAGGCTTTATTTAAGTATTCGTAATCATAGTCTATGCTGGATGGTGTTAGAATGAACAAACTTCTTTGCCGGCCTTGAAGAAATGATTTGGGTATGTACTAACACGATAACCTGACCGCAAAGTTTTGACTCCATCATAGATAAGACATTATTTTACTAAATCACACAGTGTTATACAGTAATATTAACTGATGACCACCTTTCGAGCACAAACTATTGCTGCTCATAATCATATCAAGTCACTCACTCACACAACTCTCTTGCTTCATTTATATACATGAGTGGACTTGATTAGATACTGATATAAAAATCAATATAGGATAATGTACATTCAGAAATAATAATATGAGTGTTATTGATCAAATACAATCAGATGGGAAATAAGACGAGTGTTGTTATAGTCAAAATAAATAAGTAACTTGTTAGAATGTTATGATGTACGTGAATTGAAATAGAATTTTGAGATTATTTATTATCCTCCTCTGATTTGACTGACTGGTGGTAATAATATCTTCCATATTTCTGGTATTTGCATAGAGTCATTTCTGTTGCATGTGTTGGGTCCCAGTGGCTCAATGGTCTACGAGGTCACTTTGTAACCAGAAGGTCCTGGTGGGTGCCTACTGATGAAAAGTATCAGATTAGGACAAAACAGCTGTCCAGTACACCCAACACCCTCAAAAGAAATGACTCAATGCAAATACCAGAAATACATGGAAGATATTATTACCACCAGTCAGTCAAATCAGAGCAGGATAATAAATAATCTTAAAATTCTATTTCAATTCACGTACATCACAACATTCTAACAAGTTACTTATTTATTTTGACTATAACAACACTCGTCTTATTTCCCATCTGATTGTATTTAATCAATAACACTCATATTATTATTTCTGAATGTACATTATCCTATATTGATTTCAATTCAAGTTATACCACCGCCACAACCCAGTAACACACGAAGAAAAACAAATAGTTTATCAAGTAAAATTCTGTAGGAATATTTCCTTTGTCCAATAGTATGCTGACGTTTTTCCCTGACTTATTTAGTTTATTCTTCAAACATATGGAAATTTATTTCGGGTACACCAAATCTTAGAGTCGAATTCATGTACAGTTACGGTAGTCAATAGTGAAGGGTATTCGTTGACATTTTTGAATGACATTTAATTTTAAAAGTATATATATATATATATATACTTTTGTAGAGACATGACGAATTTTCAGTGCCTTTCACAAACTATCATTCTCCCTAGAATTGAAGATTACTTTCGCTAGATATCTATGTGTCACAAGGTTTAATTGATGCATCGGGCCTGTTTAAAACGTGAGCTACCAAAAACACCCAGCATTATACTGGATCTCAGTTTTTGTGTTTACGTTGTTTTAATCCATAAAAATATGACCTCTTATAGTACTGTCTACCTTCATAAGTATTTAAAATGTTTATAGACTGGCAATTCGTAAGTTCCGATTGTGGCATAGCGGTTAGGACGCTCACCGACCATGTACATGGTCCGGGGTTCGATCCCCGGCCGACGCACTCCTTTACCTCGCTAAGCCAGTAGTAAGACTGGTAAGGAGGGAAGGTTGGGCATGAGGTTAGCAACCCCATCCTGTAAAAATAAACAATGCTACAGAATCTTCAAGCCTCTAGCTTGAAGCCCTATGTTCCACTGGGAACGTGAAGGAATAAAAAAAATACACTGGCAATTCGTAAGTTCCGGGATAAACTTGGGAAAAAACAACCGTGGGTGGCAATGTATCCAAATAAATGAGATGACCGTTCCTGAGATTGTTAGCACAGACTATCACTGCATAGGAAATAAAACTAACAACCTCAAGTCTCTAAATAATTCAGTTGTATTTTCGGGTCATAAAATGTACTGGTTCCTATTTTTTAATCTGCTTTCAACCAAATGCCGTGCATTTCTTGAAAGAAACAAGGAAAAAATATCATAATGCATTGGTTCACGCTTCAGGACAAACGTTACTGCGTCACACGATCTACTGTCAACTTCTACTTTACTTGGAGATTCTGCACGAAGATGAAATCGTATGGAATAAATTCAGCTGAGAATCTATCCAGAATAAAACTATCACTATTGATTAAAGCTATTACGGAGCTTGCAGTAAACTCATGTCTTTCGACACAACAATGTTTTTATATCCCGCTGAAAACCAAGAAATACTCTACAACAGTCCTAGCACCCAGACTTTTGATGTGCATATCAAGTAAAACATAATCAATAGAAAGAGAGACGAAGGAAAATTTCACAGTGAAATATGGGTCCATGATACTTAACTTCGGGGATGAAAACTGAACGATGTGAATATATGTGCCATTCCATTTATGAAGAATATAAGCTGTGAGTAGATGGGCACAAGTGTTATTCATATGAATCATTACTCCTGGAGTCGCTGAAGATAGGTTTCATTTACCGCTAAAATTGCAACCACGCTGTTTACACATACCCACGTTTCTAAACGTAACAGTCAGTCAGCGACTACAAGAATTGGTTCCAGATGTTTTGCATCATCAGTAGAGACTACTGAATCCTCAAAACTGAGCGTAATGTATTTACGTAATGTGACTGCTAAGCTTATGTCCAGCTTCTCCTCTTTTTCAATCTATTGATGGCTAATAAACTAGGAAAGAATCAGGAGTGCGCCAGCCAGGTATCGAACCCGGATGAAGCTCGTCTTGTTGTCAAGAAATCACTTATTCGAGTCGAACAATTCCCTGTTGTCATCATTGAGTGAAGAGATGAAACATTTGATTGTTTATCAAATGAACTAGAGAAGATTTTGAGATATCTGAAATTTCAAGAAGAAAATATTTCCTCATGAGTAATCTAACTCGGTGGCATAGCGGTTAGGACGCTCGCCGATGAGGCACATGGTCCGGGGTTCGATCCCCCACCGACGCACTCCTTTACCTCGCTAAACCAGAAATAATGCTGGTGAAGAGGAAAGGTTGGGCATGAGGCTAGCAACCCCATCCTGTAAAATAAACATTGCGACAGAAACTCCAAGCCACAAGCTTGAAGCCCTATGTTCCACTGGGGAACGCGAAGGAAAAAAAATCTAACTCTAGAATAAAGATGATGGTGTCATCATGTTGTCAGTCACTTTGATATAAAGGCAACGCAGATCTTCAAACAAAAAGGTGACTGTAATTTTAAAACTATTAAATAGTTTTTTCGAATGAAAAGCTGATTTATTTTCGCATACACACATTCCACACGCTAATTCGTTTCATCAGAACTCATTCTTCAGAATCTCTAAACATGAGAACGCTTGACTACGTTCATAATCGAGAGACTAGTGCTTAACAGTAATGTAAACATCTCAGAGGAGGTAGGAGCAGCGTTTTAATAAAATAAGATGAAAATCTCATAATGGATTCGGCTGCCAGCCAAAATTAACCAAAACATAATGTCTTAGCATTAAATTAGTTTCCATTAGCACTAACATGTATGTGATTATGACTCAGCGGTGGGGTCACGAGCCGACATCAGTACTGAACAGCTATTTCCTCCTAGTTTGGTACTCTTATTCAGAAGCATGCTCCCACAGGGATTCAAACCCAAAACCTTCCGGCTACAAGGCGAACCCATTGATCATTCAGCCACTGGGACCTAACGAAATGGTCCACGAATTCTGGCTTCTGCTGATTAGCGATATACATAGCGCCACTAGAAGCCAATGTCACAGCCCAGTAAATGTTCTCTTACATGGCTTGGTGCGTGCGAACTACTGGCCGATACTTCATGGTTTCTCAATGGTTTTCTTATTGATATCACATAGTAATCACATCTCTAGTCAAACGAATCCTAGCAAACTAGTCCTTGACATTAAGTTCTATTTGAAAATGGGGATAATTTTCCAGCACTCGAATAAATAGTCCCACTGAAATTTGAATACCACGTCTACACGACCGATGGTGCTACCTCGACTGAAAGATGAAGTACCTAGACTAGCCACTTCGAAATGTATCTACCAATTCAACGACGCTTCTGGTGGAGCGACTTATATTGGCCGTTGCTCTAGGAACTTGGTTTCCCGTGCTCTCTCTAGAACACCTCCCACTATGGCTAAGTAAAGGTGTAGTGAAACCCACCAACAGTTCGATATTGGGCCATCTGGTACAAACTGGCCTGCCACAAAGCCAGCCAGAGTTGAAGAATCCTTCTCTATCATCTACCGGGTGCTAAATAAATTGCCAAAAACATCGACGTACCGCATGCTGCTAACAGCGGAGGCTATTGCAATTCGCGTGAAACAACCAGTGCTTTGTGTGCAAAAGAAGCAAGTCCAGTCAGCCACTATTACTTCCCTGCTGCCCTCAGTAGACACTATAAACTCATGAATTTGTATTATTGTTATCTTTCCTAATTTTTCTGATATTCAGTGTGTATTGTTATGTTGATGCTATTGAACCGTAATCAACTAATATTATTATTGATTCGATGTCATTTAAACAACATTAATGTTGTTCATAACACTAATTCTTTCATTGACTATAATGTATATATAACTGTAGAGCCTGATGATGAAGTTATCGAAAAGAGTATTCTTTGTTCAGTATCCATTCTTTTGAAAATAAAAAGAAACAAAAAAATATAATACTTACTTGATAAATGGTTGAATTTACTGGAACATCTTCTCTAACTTGTATTTCATAAACACTTTTTGCAAACGTCGGTTCAATATCATTGATATCCAGCACTTCCACGATAATTTCTAATCGATCCTCTGTACTCACTGAATGCGAGTTATTATTATTATCACTTTTGATATGTACAGATGAACAGACTAAGAAAAATCGATATTGCCTAACAGATTCATAATCTAAATCCTTTTGTAAGACAAGTGCAAGACGTGTATCATTCCGTACAACCAATAGAAATGTATCCAGTGCATCTGACTCATCACCGGGAAGGGAATCAAGTCGATAAACTAGTTTAGCATTATTCGGTTGAACATCCTTATCCACTGCACTTGGTAGATCCACATGTTTACCAGCACGATAAATAACTTCTTTTAATTTCAGCACATATGGTCTAGGTACAGTTGGTGGGAATATAGGTGAATTGTCATCCAGATCAGTCACTGTAATTTCAATATTTACAACACAGATTAACTGAAAATTTCTTGTTAATATATCCACATAGATAGTCAGTAGAGCGTCAAACACGTCGTCTTTACAGTATCTAGGACATAAAGCCTCCAAATCAAGTAGAGTTTTTGTAGTCAATTCACTGGTTGTCTCATTTACATGGAAATAATTCGATGGCTCCCTTAATCGATAGTATAGCATAGGTTTATTAGATGATGATGATGATTGCAGTAGTTTGAGTAGTTCAGATGGTATTTCAGGTATTTTCATAAGATCATCATCTATTTTACTGATTCTTAGTTCCATGGGTTGATTTTCTGTAATGGAATATCGTAAAGGATATTGAGGTATTGTTGGTGCATTGTTAGCGTGGATCGTTGCAGCATAGTTGAAATCGTCATGGCTGTTGATTTGCCGCTTATAAATATTGCCCTTGTCCATAATTTCAGTAGACGTCAATAGTGAATAGGCATCAACAGAAAAATCTCGATAGATTAGTATCATTTGTAAATTATTTGGAATTAGAATAATCCACAAAAGAGATGGTATTATCCAATCAGTGGTGAGATATCCTGAGTGCATCCTCCCAACCTGATTCCCATGGTAGAAATAATGATAAAAAGACTTAATTATAACAGATAGAAGGCTAACAAAGTAAAAAAAATGAAAATAAGTCTGTAACGGAATAATTATTTGATAAATCTCCCTTGAATGATCTAATTGCAATATTTATACTTATCTGGCTGTCTCACCTAACCTTGTGACTGTTACCCTTTTTCTTTTGATATTTGCGTATCATATTTTAACTCAGTCCCTACTAACTGTCTTTTTCCCTGTTTAATCTCTAATTATAAATCTTCTCCTTGTGATTGTGCAATAGACTGACGATGTGTTACTGTATGTGATATTGTTTGACTGAATCGAGGTCATCCTGACCTTGGACTGTCTGCGGGAAGTGTTTTCGTGTGTGATTCTGGCTAAGAGAGTTTTGATCCCATCTCGTTGGGAATATTCTACTTTACAGGATTTCATCATGAGTTGACATTGGTTAGAGAACCATCGGAAAACCAGCTGGGAGTACTGGACAGCTGTTTCGTCCTAGTTTGGGACCCTTCATCAGTAAGCACCCACCAAGGATCGAACCCAGGACCTTCTGGTTACAAGGCGCTAGCTCGTAGACCATTAAGCCACTAGGACACGATCCAATCCTGTAACCAATCAAACAAATCCCTACAAACCAATACTTGAATATTCTACTTTATTCTCAAATACGACATACAACTGTATTTTAGTTAGCTGACTTTGTTCCACAGTACTCATTTTCTATTAGAAAATGTTCCATCCTGGATAGCTGCCGAATGGCGTTGTTTATGTGACTTTCAGTTTTCGATTTGATTATTAATTAAGAGAAGGAAATGGATCTTATGACGAATCACAGTGCTGAGTAGCCCTGCCATGTCATGGATTGGCAGAAGTTAGAATTCATGAGCCATTGGATCAGGTCCCACTAACTTAATAGTCTACGAGCTCACCTTGTAACCAGAAGGTCCTGGGTTCGAACCCTGGTGGGTGCGTACTGATGAAGGGTCCCAAACTAGGCTGACGAAACAGCTGTCCAGTACTCCCAGGTTTTCCAATGGTTCTCTAAAAGATGTCAACTCATGATGAAATGCTTCAATCAATCAAACAAAATCCTTACAAACCAATACTTGAGAATCACAGTGTGTTTCTCTGTCTTTGGTTCGTTTTGTGAGTGTGTGTCTCAAAAGTGTTTTGGTCAGCTATAAAGTAGGGCTCAAAAATCTGTTTTTCTGCCTTCAGACCACAACACATTAGTTTTGATCATTACAGATATTATTATTATTTTAATTATACGCTAGAATGCACTCCTGTTTTTAATCTATGTCTTCATTCACTAATATTATTAAATGTCTATATACGGATTCACGTATTAATTGTCCATACAGTCTAGAACGTGTATTTCAATGACGGTACTCCGACCTACTAGCTAACTGTGAACTTATTTACTTGCATGTAAAATGATCCACCACAAAAGAATTTCTTAATCATTCATTGTTTAAGTCAGTATAGTAACAGCTGCAAAGAAGCCTTTGTTTGTAAAACTGTGGTTCTTTGATGATAACATCAATGAAATAGTAACAGGATGCCTGGGGATTACAATTAAAAGAGCATTCACTGCAGCAGGAGTACTCCGAGTCTCCTCCACCACTCCTATTTTACGTTCGACAAATAAGGACAAACAACCAACAAACTGGCTGAAGAGGCAGCGAAAAGAGGACTCCAAGTGAACAAGAGCAGACGGAGGTGATGAAGATAAGCAACGAACAGCAACAACAACATCAACGGGAAAGGTTTAACAGAGGTTACCCCCTTCACTTATCTGGGAAGCATCGTCTCAACTAAGATGTAATGGACGAAGTTGTCAAAGTCAGAATCCGAAAAGCAAGATACGCCTTCATCAATGCCTTCATCTGAAACCAGTTTGGAAATCTTCTACACTCACTCAGCATAAGGGACAAGATTCACATTTTTAACACCAATGTGAAGTCAGTCCTTCTATACGGGTCAGAAACTTGCAATGCGTGTAACGAAAATGATTTCCAACAGGTTGCAGACTGACATCAACAGCTGCCCCATTCACTGGCTCCATACTGAAGATTAAATGGCCAGAAAGAATAAGCAGCAAGAAACTATGGGAACAAACCAACGGGTAAAAGCCGATTGCTCAACAGATATGTAGGAGAAAGTTGAGATAGATCGGACATACATTGAGGAGGCCACCGAATGAAATCGCAAGCCAAGGCATCGCTCGAGTGGAATCCCAATGGAAGTGACGAGTGGATCGCTAGTGCGAGGGTGTCATGGAGGAGATTGTGTGAGGAGGAGATGAGAGATAATGGTCAATCGCGGACTCAGCTGCAGAGGATGGCAGAAAACAGGACAAAGTGGAGATGTGTTGTTGAAGTCCTATGCTCCACTCGGAAAGCAAGGGAATAATAATGATAAAAATAACCTAATTTTGCCTCCTTTATTTGTATCTACCCGTTTTACTGACTGCTTCCATGGAAATAGTCTTTTCCTTTAGGCGTAAAAATAGATAGATTCATCATCAGATTTTCTTACATCATCCAGCATGGTTAGGTTAGGGATACCTTGCAGATAGGGACCATTAAGTTGATAGTGATAAAGTATCTAAAGTTATTGATTGTATTCTATGTAATCTGAACTTCTCTCACTGGTTAGTCGTCTAAATACAAATGAAGACATTAGAATCCACTTGAAGAAGTCAGAATTCCGCGTTCAGAAGAAATTCTTCCCTTAGATTGGACATAATTAGATGAATGTGACAGGTTATCATTATCCTGATTATTTTATTATTCTGACTACTTCATCTTTTTTTAATGGCTTATTACGTAATCAGTTTGAACACTCATTTATTTCTTAATTACTCCTTATTTTCTAAAAGCTCTGAATCGTGTGAACAGTTTTCGCAATTATTTCTACCCTTTATTTGTTGCAGGAAGTTTTTTTGGTCAATTATCAACCCCCGCCTGACATGCTGATGTTGACTAATTATTGTTAAATAACTTTTACCGCTAGATTGGTATTCCTTTTTGAATTGTACTAAAAAGCATATACACATATATATGTGGAGCTGTAGAAGTGGAACTAATTGAAAAGTCAATATTGCTTCACTCATTACTTTTGTCTTCTAAGTGCCTTAATGCGGATTTTCTCCACATTAATTTTATGCCTCAATGCATGCTGATGGAGGTTTACAACACAAACATTTACAAGCAATTACGATAATCCCATTGATGATGACCGTTTCAGAAAACAGTGAATATTCCTTTTGTTCAGATGAATTCGTAGCATAAATTATATTGGTATAAGAATAGAACTTCTACACCGTGGTAGAGTATTATTCTATTGATGACATTTATTGCTTTCTATTTAAGAAAGGTGAATAGTGATCAAGACAGCAGCAGTATGTCTGACTAATAACTCTCCCTATTCAACTGTTTCCGTGTGAGTAATTAAATACAAACTTTATCCAGAATAGGTAGTATTTGTATCACATACACTTTCATTACACATTCAACAGCCTATTTACATATATACTGTCCAAATATTTTATAAATTCCCATTAGTTTAAGGAAATAAATGCCTTCAGTAAAGAATTATTGTTTTCACAGAGCAATCCTTGGTTTGTTAAATCGAATATTTATCTATAATGACTCATTGTTTGTCAGTGACAAAAATGGTAGAACGCACGCTTATCACCCAAGTGGGCCAGGGTTCTCTTTTATGCCAATGCACTCCGAAATCTCGCTTGGACAGTCATAAGCTGAGTAAAGAGAGAGGGTTGACTCTGGGAGTAGCAACCTCACCTCGTAGGAAAACACCACCACTACCGTCACTGAAGAATTCAAAGTTGAAGCTTGAAGCTCTATGTTCCACTAGGAAAACAAAGGAATTCAAGAAGACCAATCATGTGGATAGAAAGCATCAGTCTGATAAAAAAACAACCACCTTACAACACTTTATGAATGATGCCAAACCAGACCACTAGATTTCCGTCTCCACGATATTTCTTAATATATTGAGCAAGTTGATTTAGTATTTTTTTTCTACTCTTAAACCTTCACCGTAGTACATTCGTCATAAATTCCCTCAACAATGACTATAATTTCTTTCCTTCTCTACCCCTAGAAACATTGGAAATTTCCTGACAAATTCACAATGATCAGTTATCTACAATGTAAAAATACTTGAATGACACTATTCATGAAAACATTTTCGAAAAATGAGGCGATAACACACATATAAACGAATTTTTAATCATCATAAGCAATAAGAATACTTTAAAGTGAAAGAGACGTATATTCGTCGTAAACATTACGATCATTATTAGTTCTGAGACTATCATTCAACGCTGGTGTTTTGCTAATTCTCAAAAGTTGTTTTGTTTCTGCGTTTATGTTCTATCAATCAGAATAATGACAGACATATAACCACCTTATTGTACTATTAAGGGATAAATCGCAGTATTTATTGTGCCTTTGAATAAGTTTTATTTTTAAAAAGAAGACGTGATATTTCAGCTTCGTTTCATTGCACTTAGTATTTATTAGTTAAGGTATGTTACGTTAAATATTTGAATAATTTGGCCAGTAGTCTGACTATCAAGCAGAAAATTAAGCGTCTTTAACTTCTACCTTATTTAAGTGTATATGGTTTCTAATTTTAAATAGCAACGGCATTTATGTGTTGACATTTTCTGTCCAGTGAATGAAAAATTAGGAATTTGAGATGAAACAACATTACAAAAAGCACTAAGGAACTACATATTTACAACCTGGTGAATTCATAAATTTGGATTTCTTAGTCTATATACACTATACAGATCAATGAAGCAGGAGTATTTGATCGTTGATGCCAGTAGTGCATTCAAAGCTATGAGTTTTAGCCTATTTTAAACTCGTCGGCTGGTGGTAATATCCTCTTTGAGACTTGAATCCAAACTCTGGGCTAACGAGCAACAAAACCCAAATCCACTATTCACTGAA